TCCTGTTTGCTTGCTCCCAAACTGGCAACAAAAGGAGACACACCTTAACTGCAACGGGTTTCTAGTTTTCACAATAGTGCCCACTATATATGGTACACCCACTGCAATGAGGTAAGATGGAAAAACACAAGTTTCAGAAAAATCCTTTGCCCACCATGCAATGCGAGTCAACGTGAGGTTGTAAGTCTGCAGACACTGTTTTTATGCCTCTCTCCTAGGGAGAGAGCCTTCCAAGGGCAATTGCTCCCATGCTCCAGATGACACATTAAGTCCAGTCCCTCCCATGAGATCCATGTTGGTAAAATGCATGTTGAACAATAGTCTAACAAAGACCAGAGTGGAACATCCAGCTGAGTCCATGTCCTGAACATCTGGGAACAACAGATCTAGGTACCTGGTGACAAGCTGGGTTGGAGGTATGTAGGGCAGGGGGTGAAACAACACTAGGAAGTTCTCTTGACTTTCCAGGCTGTTTAGCACAGCACAGGTGGAAGCAGCCAGAGGGCAAAAGTCAGTATCTGCATAGCCAGGCTATGCCAGACAGCTTTGCCTTCTGCTTTGGATCTGAGAATTTTACTGAGCCAGACCAAAACAAACTTAAGGTGATTTGGCTGTCTGGATTAGGCTACAAGAAGTCCAAGTAAATCAGGAAATAACTCCCTCAGTGACCCTATTTATTATGAGTTTCTCCGTGGTTGTGACATCTGTTGTTTGCCCTATACTGTTGGTGAGGCTTTGTCATGGCAGCGTCATTGCCGCAGCACAGCTGAGGAGGAACAGCCCAAGGGGAAGTTTGAGACACCTAGGAAAGAGAAGCGAGTACAACCACGTAGAAGGCTGGGTGAAAGGCAAGGAGCAGCAAAAATCTTTCTTTGAAAAAGGACGTGGGATAAGACAACACGGGGTAAGGACGAAAACATGGGACTGGTGGATTGTTTGACTGTTTTGGAGACTGCAGCAAAACTCTTGGACACGAATTCCTATTATAAAGCTGACCTCCTGGAATATGTACGTGGTACAGCAGTTGCTTTAGTTTTAGCAACTAACCGGATCCTTGCCAGAATTTTCTGGCAGCATGCTTTTTGGGAAAAGAGCTGCCTAGCGATTCCAAGGGGAAGCGTGCAGAGATGAGCAGAATGTTCAAAATCAGCAAAAACATTGACTGTGCTGCTTGCAAACAGAACATTTTTCCTGTACAACCCTTCCACTAGGACCTAAACAGTCAAGATCTTTTTTCTTTTCTTTCTTTCTTTCTTTCAGAAACAGAGGGGCTTGCTAAAAAAGACAACAAAACAAAACAGGCACAAGCAATATATGAACACCCACTCATTACCAGTGCTGGGTTGCTGTACAGTACCTAAATGACCCAAGACCAGCTAAGCTCTCCAACTTCTAAATCCTACAACTTTTTGCAAGCAGTGAGCAGCTGCCTGTTTCCATGCTCTATGATTCCTGAAGCATAGTGTACTATTTTTCCAACCACACAATGAAATGTACTTTCTACAGCTTTGCTTGCTGTGTTTAGAGCCTCTGGAATCATTTAATGGTTCCATGATTCCAAAGGCAAGGAAAGACACAAGGATGGATGTCAGCAGACTTGGATTTAGTGTTCAGTCCCCATTATACTCTTAAACCTGGGAAAATCCAGAACCTCTGAGCCTTACTTCTTAGCCTGCAAAACACAGGAACTGCATTCCTCGATTACCTACTCTCCTGTGTTTTGAAAACTGGTATTTTGGAATGTCTAAGCAGTAAGACACCTGTCAGGCCTGGAAAAAGGCCAGCATTGGAAAACTCCAGCAAATCACAATCACATCATAGAGATCTGAATAGAAACTGCTAGGAAGCAAAATCCAGTGGCTGCTGCCATTCTCCCCCTTGGGGACCATGAGTTCTCTGGAGAGTCCAATTAAATTGTTCAATGAAAACGCTGACCCAGCTCATCCACCACTCAAACATGTTTTCCTATGTGAGGAAATGCAACAGTAAAGTACATTTTTCTATTTTAGTTTTTATTATTATGTTCAAAGAAAATAAAAAGACATAATGCAGCTTTTGTCCCACCAGGTTACAAGCTACCAAGCTTAAGAACTAATTGGACCTTTACATAGTTGTAAGACCTATATCTATAAATCTGAATATAGTTTTATTATTTGGCAATACAGCACTGTTTTTTGGGTTTTTTTAAATAAGAGGTGGGTGGGGAATCTGAACTGGGCTGTTATCTAATTTTAAACATAGGCTGTCCACCTGCTTGGCATATCATATTCTCCATTCCTCCACTCCACCCCTTAACAAAATAATACCTTGATTTTACATCCTATTCCACTACCCTCAATCACTGGTTTATAATTACCACAATCTTACTTGCTGCCTAGAATTGCTTAGATCAGCCATTTTCAAAGACAAACTTCCCTCAAATTCTCTAACAGAGAAAAAGGTCCTTTTTACAGGAAAAATTCCAAGTGGCCACAAAACAGGATCATGTTTCAGAACGTATGTCCAGCAAAGACCGACTAGTTTTCTTTTCCATTTCAAATGCCACCGTCCTCTGCTTCTTCTTCCCACAAAGCTGTGGTGGTAGATAAATTCAGGATTTAATTCAACAGGACTAGCAAGAAGGTCTATTTTCAGGCACACAAAAGTCTGAAACACACACTGGTGGTCTGAGGTCAAGAGAAGCAAAAGCTTCTCAAAAGCTACTTCAGTACATGCATATGCTGGTTAAAATCAAAACAGAACAACCATGAAGCCATACTTAAAAGGTGCTGCTATGTTAACTGTTCATTAACCAGAAGTTATCATTAACTTTTAAAAAGCTGATCTATTCCCAAGCATGTAAAGCTGTTGCTCTCCACTGCTCATATTAAGACTACTCACATTTACTCTCACCACTTTCCACCTTGAAGGCCTTCAGAGTGCCTCAGCATACATACCTATCAAAGATACAACTCCTGAGCAGTAGCTAAGCTCACAAGCCCTAGAATATGGTTTTACATTTAAAGGACATGCTCCTTCTATGACTCCTTCCCATCCAAAGGAAACTTCTTTCCTGCCATTCATAATGGCAAAGCAAGCTTTGAAAACATTAACTGATTTTATATCAGTGTTGGATGTTTGCCTGAATTTGCAAAAAGCCTAGAAAACGGGTCTCATGTTGGAATTACTCCCCTCATTTTGGTGTGGTACACAAGGCTCCCTGTGAGGCAGAAGGAATGTGAACACACAGAAACCTATCTCCCCTGAGGAACCATCCAGCAGTGTGTGTGACCAACATGTTTAGTCCATGAGCTCACTGTGACCAGTGAATCTGCTCTAAAAAGAAGCCTTTAATATTCTGCCTCCTTCTAAGAAAATCTGGTTTTGTCTTCCAAGAACTTTTATGATGCAGCCAGGCACTGCCAAGGATAAAAGTCTGTGCCATACTGAGCACCAAGACAGCTAAACCATCCCATTAAAATGGCAGGGGGCTATTGCTTGGACCAGACTGTTCATATGCAATCCAACTAAGCCTCTCTTTCAAGATGTCCAGGGAGAAACATGGTGACCATGCCACCAGCTCCAGTGTGCAGTTGCACTCCACCCTGCTGCTCAATTTAGATCCTGCTTGCTAAGGAGCCTGTAAGCCTTTACACACATGCATCTTGCTCTAGATTCCCACCCACACAAATACAAAACTGGGTTTGACCTTTCCCACTCTGCTCTGTCCATGCATCTCCCCCTAGCCTGAAAAAATTCCTGCCATCTGTCCTGCCTGTGCTGCTGAGTGCTACAGTCTGATCCAGGCACTCCAAGGCTCCAGTATAGTCATGTCTGTTTCTCAGCCTGCTACGGTCCCTGGAGCTGCCCCATGGCTCCCTATTGTGAATTGTTTCTTGAACTGTTTGGACATCTTGGAAAATAAGTCTGCTGTAAAAGGTCTGCAACCTTTTTGCATGTATAACACATTTCCACACACAAGCTACTTTGGGAAAATGAAACTGTGGGCACAACAGACCAATTAAATAGAAAGCATAGTTGCATAAAAACTAGAAGATACCATTAGGTGTGGTAAGAAAGTATCTCCAGTCTCTAATGTAGGGGTACAATATTCAGAGCACCACATTTCCAAATTCCAGGAGCAGAGATGCACTCCCAGCCTAGGCTCAGGGCAGTACAACAGCACAGCATCAATGTTCAACCTTTTGTGTTCCTCCTAGAGAAAGAAGAAACTTCAGACTGAACGAGCTTAGGCTTTCCTTTAAAATTCAGCATTCATCACTTTCTTGTGCTTTCAACTTCCCATTTTTCCATATATCTTAATCAAGTTTTGCTGACCACCTGCTTTGACCTGCCTGCTGCCATCTGAGGGGACTCAGCAGGTACAGTCACTCAACCATTTGCTGGAAGCTTCGGTATTTTTAAATCTCACATTTTGGGAAAGAGGAGATAAGAAGGGTTACAATGGGCAATGTGTGATCCTCACAGTACAACATCCAGCCACTGCAAACCACAGGATTTACCCAAGACTCTCTCTCTACGCAAGGACTCTGAACAGTCCTGAAGAGAATAAGCACACTGGCCCTCCTCCTTGAAAGGACATCTTTAAATAAGATATACCAGATTTAAACTTGTTGTGCTTGCAAAGAACAAAACCAACAAGATAAAAGACACTGAATTAATTCCCTGTTTGAGTGTGTCAAGCTCTAGTGTTGTATGTATGGCATTTCTCCCTCAAGCTGGTTTCCTTACTCCTGTATAATGTCATCTTGAGTACCCCAACCAGTGAGAAGAGCAAACAACAGTGGCAGATGACCCATTAGTCCTGAGAAAGCACCCACTGTGACAAGCCTATTTCCTTGTCATATCACATCAGCTCTGGATTGTGCTGCAGTGAAATGCAACGGCAATGCACAACAAGGGCTGAATACAAAACCCCACGGGACACAAGCCAGACCCGTAGTATGGTATGAGAGCCATGCAGATTAGGAAGGGAAGCCATACAAAATGGAAGGACTTACACCAGAGTTCATAGTAGTAGTTGCAACACTGGGATTGTCCACAACAGTGGCCCGTTTCACATATGTAACTTTGATTGTTGACACCCATGCAGGTTTCCTTGTCCTAAAATTAAACAGACACACTTTTAAGATGCTTTGTCAGTATCTTTTGTAAATGTTTTACTTGATGATCTGCAAGCATTTGAAAAGTACAAGTTATGGTCTTTGGAAACTCTAAAATACATAAGGAAGTTAAAAGACATCTAAGGACCACCAAAAAACAAAGGACCGTTCAGAAGAAAACCCCCATATCTCCAAACCCATAAGTTACACTGTTTTAGCATCTAGTCAGCACTGCTGTCTCATCATCCCTCTCCTTTTCCACTAAAAGTTACCACATTTTGGGAGCCAGGCATTCTCTTAGAAGCAGAGATGACATTTGTTCCACATTGTACACAATATTGCTGTATTACTGGAGCTGAATGCCAAGTGGAGGAAAAGCATTCATAAAGGGAACATCATAATTTGAGAAAAGACTCTTGGATTCATTTAGATCTAAGTGATAATTACAATATGTTCCTGCAAGATTCCTATCTAAAATGATTTCTTCATAATTAGCCATGTGCTTTATGGGAGATCAGCATTCCTGTAAAACTTCTTCCTGCAATAGAAAGTAGTCCAGAAGCAGAGCCAAATCAGCTGTAGCACATCACCCAGCAGGTCTTCACCTAACATGGAAAAGGTCTATGCTGTGAGGTCTCAGTTCCCCACATAGTGCACCACTTCCCAGAAGTTTGTGTTATTCCTGCCAGTCTGAAAACATGGCTGGGAAAAAGTACAAAAAACAAGGAAACAGAAGCAGGCTGTGGTTTGTATATCCTCTAATAGGTTTTGGAGCAACCTGAGAGTTCAAAGAACACTATGGAATTTAAGAAACCAAAAAAATTGTTTCTTAATTTAATTAATTTTAAAAATTAATTAAAAACAGTGTAACAAAGTTTTTATTTTCACTTTCTTTCACCTGAAACTTATTTTAAGGAAACGAAAATGTGCGTAGGCCTATAGTGAAAGCTGTGTTGAAAAAAAAAATTTGGAAGTACCAACTTGCAAATAAGAAACCACCAACCCACAAAACCCCACCAAACCCCACCAGCAGGTGACAGGGATGCACATCTGTGGGTCCCAGCACTGGCTGAACTGCACTGTTCTTCTCTTTTATGTGAGTGCACCATGGCCACACTTGCCATACATTTCTATGGAGCCACCACACACACAAAATACCAAGTGCATTTCAAATATTGAACCACTTCATTGAACAAGTGATGTGACGCAGCAGCTCCAACGCAGAAGAGTCCTGCACTAGATTTTCAGTGTATTTGGGGATCTGGAGGAGAAGCAGCACTTCCCCACCACACAGCACCCTGGCTGGAGCCACACCTCCCCAACACAGGCCTCTCACCTAAGCATCCAAACTACAGAAGCAACATAACTTCTAAAAGCAGAACAACCTCCTGCCATCTGAGGCTCAGCAGGAAAGACCCCATGCTGCTTCTTTTCTCCTAAGAAGTCACACCAAGGGTTTTGACCATGTGAGGGCACAATTCAGCAAACACAACTCGGCATACGATGCACTGCTTCTCTTCCTTCCATGGATATCATTATTTTCACAAAAGGCTCTAAAAAGCACCTTTAAAACTCACCCACAGAGGAAACAAGTTAGAGAGGTACCTGCCTCTATTTTTCAGGAAGAGACAAACATTTTGCTGGACAGTCCAACTACTACAGGCAGCTAAAACAAACATTTGGTACTTGCCTTGAGATGCTGGCATGTCAGCAGTAGAAACACCATTTTCCTATGTGGTAAGGAGGTGTTTCCATCTCTGACTGGTGGCAACTATTAAGAGACACTGCTGAGCTAGCTCAGTATTTTCTGCTTCAAGCATGCTATTCACTCCAAAAATAGTAATTTTAGCCAGTAAAAGAACTAGAAATAGGTCACATCTATTATCTTTTCTTATTAGTTTATTTACATTTTTCCTCAGTTTTGTTGGCTTTGCAGAGCTAATGTTAATGATGAACAGCACAGATTTTGGCTCTCATATGAAGAGAATTGAGAAATTAAGATGCCATTGCAAAACTGTTGATAATGTTCAAGTCAGAGAATGACTAGCTGAGGTTTGTGGTTGTGACACATGAAGATCAATGTGACCTGCTGAACCAGCAAATGAATCACATGGACTCTGGTGAAAAACCAGAGTCTCACAGTGCTATTTTATGATCTCCTCTGCATCACCACACCTGATCCATCCTTGACCACTTCTGGTTTACTCCCCAAAAATTTCATCCATTCACTGTTGCCTGCTTCAAAGAGTAGCAAATGCGGAACAAATCAGTGTCTTTGGGCAGCAGCAACTCATAACATCTTCAACTATATTATTCCCACTTAAAAACTTGCAGCTCTCCTGATTTCAGAGACTTTCATCACACCATCCTTTTATTTGAACTTACTGACTCCCTCTTGCCAACCTCATTATATTTGAAATTACTTTTCCACACATGTGCAGGGCTGTTCCTTATTAACCCAGCCGGCCAACATGAGGATCCTGAGTAGCTAGGATGGTGTTCTTCAGGTTCTTCCTGGAGATCGAGTCTCAGGCAACATCCTGCTTTCCATCTCGAGCAGAGTTTAAATCTTACTGCCCAGAGCTTCTTTACACACTGACCAAGACAAATGCTCTTCCCTGCTAATGCATATGTGCTTGTACCTTCAAACAGTCCCACAGCTGGCTTTCAGCTCCCACAGTTCAGAACAGCAGGGGTTCTGAAGCCTTGCAGTACCACCAGCCACACTCCTCAAAGTCCAAGCAGCTCATTTTGGAGCCTTTCTGTAGCCCTCTGCCAGCCCAGCCACCAACAGGCTTTTGGGAACATGGAGCTGTCAGACTCGGGGGTCACAAGTCAGACCCAGAACTGTCACCCGTATTTCCAAACAGTTTCATAGAATCAAGGAATAATTTGGTTTGGAAAGGATCCCAGCAGGTCACATGGGCCTACTACTGCTCAGAGCACGGCTACCTCTTAACACTGGGTTACACAGCCAGCACAGGGAAAGAGATAAAAGGTAAAGGCAACAGATCTTCATGAATAGAAGTCTACTAGGGAAAGATTCTGGCACAGGCAGAGCATTGTTCTGGGATATGTTACAGGTGTCTCCTTTGGAACAAGTGTTTCAGTCTCCTTTCCTCTTTTAAGTCAAGACTCATTTCTATGAAAGGCTGAGCCACTGTACAGTTTGCTCCCTTTCTTGCAAGTCAAGGAGAGGTTATGTAGAGCCATCCTGGCCGAGACATAGACCATGACACTCTTTGTTAGGAAATTCCTACCTACTTCCAACCTCTTTGATCTGACTTCACTTTCTATTTAAATCTCAGGCTGCACTTTTCATACCAGCAACATTTTATTATTTCTACTTCCTTCTCCCATGCATTCTTTGTGTGATAGGCTGCCAAACTAACTACTTAAGATATATCAGCAATACAGTTATCTAGAGTCTAAATGTTTCCTGGAAGCAATATCCCAAGTGCTTGTGCTATGAAAGTGTACTATTCCCTTTTTCACACTAAAAGCCACAGACAAGGCACAGGCCTGAAAGAGTAATTTTATAGATAAGGAAAAAAAATATGGTGGAAAAAACTCCCCTAGAAGCAAAGTTGGAGCACTCATATTTTATTGACCTGCCTTTGTTTTTAATTTCCACTGCAAACAGCACTTGTAATGGTAATTTTCAGTCATTCTTACCAGCATGGAGTTGTTATTGAACTATTACAGAAGGGTTTTGGAATATTTTTAAGGTAGCCTTAGGAAAACAAGGAAGGGGGAGGGTTTCTTTCCAAAAGCACTTTCTTCCCCAATAGCCAGTGGCTATTACATTCCACAGTGGGCTTCCCTGCTGAAGGAGAGTCTCTTTTCTTGTTGTCCAGGCAGGCAAGCACATCCCTCCCCACCAGCCTTTGTTCAGCTAACTGTAGATGCCTCCAGGCAGGATTACTAAGCAGGATCTGCTTGGGTCTGCTCTCAAATAGCATTCAGCTCCATTAGAGCAGAATAGTCTTGTTTCACAACTAAGAAGCCAGAACATGCCATCCATTATCTCCCACCTGCAAAGCCTCGGAGATTCCCAGCTAGTTTCAGGGGATTCACTTGGTCCTGTAAATCAGCATGTACCCTAGGCTGCGTGTGCATCACTGCCTCCGTGATACCATCCTAAGAGCTGGTCTGAGAAACTGGAATCACTCAGTCCCTGACACACAAAAAGCCTGAGCGGTTGGGAGAACACTCAGCAGACGTGGAGCCTGTGCTCCCTCCCAGTCCAGTCCAACAGAAACCATCTGTGATATGTGGTACAGGCTCTTTGTCATGAAACTGGTTGAGCTGGGAAGACCTTACCTGGTGTAAGACTTTACTTTGAGCAGCTAGGATGGTGTAAGGGAAGACCTTACTTTGAGTATTTTGGTGTACTTTGAGAGTCTCTTCATATTAAGATGGGGCATTTTGGATTAGTTTTCACATGTCATAAACTTTATAAAGTAACAGTGAATAAGATTCTTTTTTTAAACTTATTTTCTTGTTGATATTTGGCATTTGTGATAAACCCACAACCACACTGGCAACTCTGCAACTCTGCCAGTAGTCCACTTTTGCTGTCAAGTGCTTTTACAAATAATCCTTAAAATATCCAGCAGCGGTAGATACAAGAGAACTCAAGGCAGTGCTGTATGTTGTCACATCTGAAGCCACAGCAAACGGTAACGTCAGTGCCAAGGAAAAAAGCCAATTATTCTCTTCACCTTCCAGTTAAGTATTAGACCTTTACTGGAGGTCTGTGTGACAAATTAAAGGTCAAAATCCGGGGCACAATCAAGACAAGAGGCATTCATGAAGGTCTGAAGGTTGACTGAGCTGCAAGGAAAGATGGAACAGACCTCCTTACCCTACTTTTGTAAAGGTTTTCAGTAGTAAATGGTTGGGTTTAATAGCTGTAAATCTGTTAGGATTTACTGTGTCTGAAGCCAGTGTTGGAAATGAAGGGAAATAACTGATTGACAGTGGAGTTCCATCACAATAAAAGGATCAAGGCACTTTTCTCTTTTCTACTCTGAAAGTCAGCAGTTAACCTGGGCACATACTGTTGCTAAGTCAGAAGGGAGAAAGATGAAGATGAGCAAATTCCAGGCTAGCGTGGCTCTTTTCCAAGCTGAAAATTAATATGTGCAACTGCAGCAACAAACATCACAGCCCACACTCAGAAGTGCATAGTTGGCAGCCAACAACCTACAAAAGTTGACTCCTCAGTTGACATTAATCAGGTAACCAAAACCAGCAGCAACCAGTATCACGAAATCTAATAATCATTTTAGCTTTTTGCTCCGTCTCCTCTTTCCACAGAAATCCAGACTCCATTACCCTAAATACGAGCACCTTTATATGGCCTCAATGTGTCATTCAAACTGGCAAAGTATCCTAACCTTGGTAATACCCTGGGAAACACTTGGAAATGTGACTTGCATTTACTTAGAGCAGAGTTTATAGGCCATTCCTGTCTCCTAGTATACCCAGTTTTTTTACCTACTCTAATTCCCTAATTTCTCCAAATTTCACTACAACATTTGTCAAGGCACTATGCAGCAAATTACTATTTTAACAGGAAGAGATGGAGAATAACAACAGGATGACAGGAGTGAGTAAAGGCCTGAATAAGAGGCATAAAGACAGAGGGAATCAGAGAAAACCCCAGCAACAGGATGAAGGGAGACTGCCAAAATGGCATCTGCTGAAGGGCAAGATACAACTGGTTTTATAACAGGACGTGGGCTCAAAGTGTGACCACTCCAGACCTTCTGGTTTCACAGCTCTCATAGGGACTTTGGTAATAAGCATCTATTTAATAATAAATCAAAATCCTGACCTAGTTATTTCACTAATCTCATTAATCGCAGGCAGCAGGCCCTTGCTCTCAGTACCCAGCCGCGCCCATAACAAGCAGGATGGATTAAAGCAAGTGACACTATCCTCAGAAAAATGCATTGCAGTATGTATTTTGAGTAACTCAAAATACAAATCAGTATTTGAACCACATACATTCTTTAAGCATTCTGAGTAACAGAATGGAAGTGGTTGCCAGTACATTAAATAAGCCAGAAACAACTATTTGACATCCACTATTTACTAGTTCCCACTTGGCTGTTACTCAATCTCACATATCAGACTATCACTAGTGTTGGTTAGCGAAGTGCATCAGCAACAGCTCATGAGAATGCAAACACAGAACTACCAAAGAAAATGATCTCTGTCTGATAAGGCACTCAAGTGGTAGTAAGTTAAAACTGCTATTGAAAATACTAGGCTGGAATGCCCAGTCTTGCCACAGGGTTTACTACAATTCCTGGTTTGCCAACAGCTCCCCAGTTCCTAATCAAAGTTAATCTGAAACAAAAACTCAGTAGATCCTTTCGGAGAAGGACAGCAGGTGGGATCACAGCAAGGACAGGCAGAACTGCTGGGGAACCCTGGATCACCAGGGCAGCTCAGGACTCAGAGACACCCATGTGGCTGAGCCTGCACCAAGAGCCTCCAGACACCTCCAGACACCTCCTGCCTTCACACTGTGAGTCCTCTGGAAAATGAAAGCAAAAATCCACCCGCTGAGGAAGCATCATGCCTTCGGTGTGTTCAATTTAACAAAAACATGTAAGACTGCCGCAGAGGAAAGTGGCTTTGACTGCTGGGAGTTACTGGAACCTCATGTGCCAGGCCCTGCCAGCACAACAGGGGACAGATTCCTGTAAGCCTGCCTTATGACAGACAGCTGAGGCCAGGAAATAAATCAAGTCTGGACACTTCTTAAGTCACCCACCACAAATTTTGTTTTGCAGAATGTGGCGGAAAAAAAGTGTAGTAAGTGCAAATATGCAAACACTTTAGAAGTATAATAAGTGGGGAGGAATGATGCCTCTGAGCTGTCTCAGGCACAATAAAGATCTTCAAAATGGGAATTCTAATCCACAACATTTATTGCTTCACTAATGCCAGCACCAGGAGAATTATATTTAGATCACCGCGATTAATCAGGCACAGCAGACCCATCCTCACCCCCAGCAGATGCAGAACCTCCAAGGTTTTATTAACCTTTATATGAGGAACAAATTGGTTTGTTGCATCCATTTATCCTGGAGAAATACTCCAACTGTCTTTAAAGGGACACTGTCCTTTCACAGGACACTTTTCATCATGGACACTTTGATATGTTTCAGTAAGAGCTGGTTTCATTTTTGTTTACTGTAAGTTTCAATTTCAAATTCTGACAACTACACATTAGTGTTTTAAGCACCATATGTTTACTTCCTCACCCCTTGCAAGAAGCTTCCCAGCTGCAGTCCTCAGCCATCTCACATTAAAGATACACACTTCAACACTTCTAGGAAATCACAGCTTTGAGGAGGTCATCTTGCATTTTGTTGGTTTAAATCACCAAAGAGAAGACCATGCTGAAAACCCTCAAGCAGTTAAAATTAAAACTGAAAGCGTTTGGAATCTAACTTTTTTTTTTTTTTTTTGCATTTATGCAGTGAGCTAGGTGAATGCATTCGAGCTACCACCTCCAACTTTAGCAGGAAATGCTCACTCAAAACTAAAAGCAGAGATCCCCTACAATCACGTTTCCTTGGATAGGAGCTTTAAACACCCACATTGCACTGATGTCAGATAGTGCTGACCTAGCTTTTTAGGCATTTAAATATCATCCCCAGTGCAACAATAAAAAAACCCAAAATCAACCAGACACCTTACTTGTACCAGGTGTTTGGCAGTCCATCTGCAATGCTACAATGCTGCTGGCTCCCAAAAAATAAATGAAGGCAGATCCAGGGAAAGCAGCTGTTCAGGGCAGGCCAGGGGTGCAGAGGAAGGGGTGCTGGTCCTCGGGAGCCACAAGTCTCACTCTGATCCTCCCATCCTCATCACACAGCTCATGAGAGGGCAGCCCACTCAGCACCTCTTCCCTGAGTTTGCAGCCCAGGATCAACATCCCTTGTGCTGAGTGAGAACAACAAAGGGCATCCCAGACAGCCAAGTGTTTACAGTCCAAATGCACCAAGTAAAAACCAAGACACAATGGAGGTGATGAGATGTTCCTGAATTCCTCCCCTACTTTCAATTAAACAGCACTGTTCAGTAATAACCCTTGGAAAAAGAAATTTCTGGATAATATTTGCATGCAGGACACACTCACAAATACTTAGATTTACTTTAAGACTAAAAATGATTAAAACTAAGAAAAATTCAAGCAGCTCTTTCCCACTATATCCTTTATAAGTGGATAAAAATAGTAAAGAACTTTGCTCTTATGTTCTTGAGGCAACACCTTTTTTTCCTGCTTCCTGTAAATGCCTCTACTGATGCCCAAAAGTTACCAGTGGAGAAAAAAGTACCATCCATCCACTGAGACAACCAGATCTTCACTGTTCCAGCAAATGAAGCCAAATTACACCCAACTTCTACTTTTACACCTTATGCAGCACCCCAACTACACTGAACACATCTCTAAACCAACATGAATTATTTAAAACCAGGAATTTTAGAGAAAAACACACCCGTGAGTCTCAAGCAATCTCAGCATTTGAAGCAGCTACATCTCAGTGCAGTTTGAGAGTTACCTAAAGCCATTCAGCCTTTGTGCCTGAATTTCCCCCTCTGGTTCAGTTCCTAGTTTTTAAGGCAAGTCTCTCTGCCCTGAGTGCTAACAAGTGAACTATTATTTATAGCTATTGCACCAATCACAGAAGGTCATTGTGCTAGAGGTAGTTTCTTATGTAAAACTCTTTTCGGATTGGGGGTGTGTGTGTGGGGGTGGGGAGAGCCGCGTTTCACCAAAACTGAACTGATAAGGAAAAAGAGACAGCACTGTTTACTCAGCAGCGCGTTGAAGTCTTTTAGCGCTGATAAACAACTGAAAGTAGGTAGTTTAAAGCATGTTATGATCCAATCTTGACTTCTTAATTCTAAATTAGAAACTGCAAGCAGCACTCTGATATAATGCAGTATTTATTTACTGTGGATTACAGATCACAGCAGTGCTGAGAAGAGTTTACAGTTAGATTCCCCTACAGACGTGCCTCCCAAACCAAAAAAAGGGTTTGCTCTCCCCAGCCTAGGAACACATAGTTGGCACCTCCTCCAGCAGAGAGCAGCTGGGCAGTTGCTACCATTTCTCATTCCACTCGATATTACCAGCTATTAAATTATCCCAAGTTTCTTGTTCGAGCTCAAACTCTCGAAAACAATTAAAAAATCACCAAGCTGTGGGTCACAGCATGTTGCCATTTTCCATGTGGTGCCTTTTGTTAGAGATGAGACATGCATACATGTATATACCTCTTCCTGGGTATTTTCTGGGGTTTTTTCCTGGTTTTTCTTTTTTTTTTTTCTTTTTAAAAAATCTACAGCTTTACATACAAAATAATGCCTGTACAAGAAAACAGTTACAAGTCTGGCACGTTTTTAAGAAATGCAAACACAATTCCATTTTAAGGACTGTGGAAAGCACCCTAAAACCCAACGACACAAAGAGCCTCCCTCCTCAAAGCCTCCAACAACAACAAGGAAGTTTCTATCCCTGGCTCACAGTTTTGCTCCTTCCTTGCTAATAAAAAGCGTCTCTCTCACAACTGTGCTCTCCGATCACACGCCACGGGTGGGGAAGTGCTGATTGTACAGTTCTGTTTTGGGAAAGCCAGAAATCATATCCGTAGAGGTGGGGGAAATAAAAATAAAAGTAATCGGTCACATCCTCCACCTGAGCAAGCAGCTCCCACCGCACTTAAGCCGGTTGGTTACCTGTCTGAGACCCAGGAGGAAAGGCATTCTGCAGGCTCATCCTCCACGCCAGCACATGGGAAGGCAGGAATTTAAAGCCCCACAGCAACCATTTCTTCATCTGCTGTGGGCAGCCCGCTCCTCCGATCCTATTTAAACCAGGGCTTCCTCAGCTGGGAATGCTAAGTAAACAGGGTCCTGGGACACTGCACGCACTCGCTGGCTCCCCCTCCTCCTCCTCCCACTCCCTGTGACATATCTCAGACGCAGCCCAGCCGGGGTGTTTGCAAGAGGGAAATGACATCAGGTCGGGCAGTTCTGAAAAAAAAACCAAAAACCCCAAAAAAAAACCAAAATAAAAAAAACCCACCCCAAACCAAAAAGTTAAAACAATCCCCCAACACAAACAAAAAAACCATGCATCCACTAAAAAAGAAAACAAACACGCCCCCCCAAAAAAAACAAAACAAAACAAAAAAAAAACAAAAAAACCAAAAAAAACAAAAAACCACCCCAAAAACAACAAAACCAAAAGGCAGCCCTGAACCTTAAGACTGCTGTGTGACTCCAGGCAGGTCGCTGCAAACGGGACCTGCCAGGGAGCCCTGATGGAGCAGAAGTGCAAAAGTGCTCTCCTCCCTGCTAAGGAGATGCTGCAACGGAGGGCAGCTTATTAAAAATGTTGTCATGAGCCAACAGCGTGGTGATGATTACATCTTGCTAAGCAAAAATAGACAGTTCATCTGTTTCTGAGGAGAAAGCTAAGTTTGATGCTGCCTGCTGGACAGCACTGGAGTCCTGGAAGCCACCACCTTGGTTTCTCTGAGTACCTCCAGAGCCTGAGAACCTGGGTAGTCTTCACAGATCCAAAGCACTTCCCTGCCACCTTCTGCCTGCCACCACAGTTCCACTTTTTCTGACTCGTAGCACTGTTCAGCTGTCAGCCCCTGATAACAGCTGTCCCTCTGAAGAAACAGCAACAACTTCCCTGATTTCAGAAGGCTCAGAATTGGACCCCTCCAGCATCAGACAGGTGATAGGAAGAGTTTCAAATCCACCTCTCCCCAAGGAAAATCTGACTAGCCCTGTCAAAAGGTTTCTCATTCTACTTGAGCTCATTTAACATTTTCATGCCAAGGGGCAATTAAGCCTTATAAACAAATTTATCATCTGGTGCCCAGGATGGCATGTCTTGTTTGTCCTCCCCCAAGCAAGGAGTACAGCAAGTTCCACAGTGGTGCAGAAGATGACACTGCAGAAGGTAATCTAAATTTAACTTCCTTTTCTACCTCCACTTTGAAAGTTCAGCAACCTCTTTTTTTGTGCTTCTCTTTAATCAGCAGCTGTCCTCGTCTGTCGGGGAGGGGGGGGCCTGGGACACCATTGCCACTCCCATATGCCCCAGCAGCAGATCCATGGATATTTGACAGAGGACAAACTCCCCTGGCTTTTGACCTCTTTGGCTTTGGAGCCCAACACATTAAAATAAATGACAAGGAAAGGAAAATACTTTTTTGCATAGTGAGTTCACTGAATGCCTTTTTTAGTAGCAGTTTTATTAGAAATTTCAGTACTTCAGGAGAGAGAGAGAAGTCACATGAAATTCTTGCAAATGCTAATTAGAAACAGGAGAAAAAAATTAAAGAGGAAACTAAAAAAAAAAAAAAGGCAGAAAAGCAGAACAGACACCCCTTGCCACCCAACACCTAGACAGCTTTCAGCAGTGTCAGAAAAGGACACCCATTTTGCACATGCCAGAACCACTCAGTGACCACCACTGCTGCCTCCTCTCAGTCCAGCCTAGTCCAGTCCAGAGTGGTTTCCCAAATAAGAACCCCACTCTGTGTGTCCTCTCCACAACTGGACTGTGAGAATACACACAAGTATTACTTATTTTTACACCAACTTCAAGGCGCCGTCTAAAAATGCTGTTTAAGGGTAAGCACATCCCTGATTTCCCTAAGAGAAAACAAGCAAAGAAGCAATTTCCTGGAGGATACAAAACATTGGCGTTAACTAGCATCAGCCAGGCAATGGGATTTTCCAGCTTTTGTGCTATTGGATCAAACTCTCAACCTTTGCTTTTCCAATTCTATGGACAAACACCAGTGATATAAAAGGGCAGCTTTCTGTTTTAGTAATCTTTTCTGTGGCCTTGCAGTGGCCTTTGAAACATCTGATTTTGGCTGTTGTTATCCAGAGCTCTGGACCAGGCAGATCCCAGGGCTGAGCTAATGCAGCAGTTTCTAAATCCCTACTGTCAGAAGAAATCTAACTTTAACCACCCGCCTCTTCCCCAGCACACACTCAAAAGGCAAAATGTCATTCCAGATCTAAGACAAGTTGTGAAGGACTATCAAAAGCAGTAACTCATCGGAAAAGCAAAAGCATCCTAATTTATGTGAAGAATTTAGCAATCCTGGAAAGACTGACACAAAAAAGGTGGTTTGCAAGCAGGCATTACCACATTCGACTGCAGCAGGAGCAGCCACCCTCTCTTGCAGTCCCTGAGTGACAGCGGCCAGTAACACGCTCCACAACTCTGCTATAGGCGACTACGGAAAAACCCCTGTAGAGGGACAGAAAAAAAAAAAAAAAAGAGCTGGACAAGGTAGCTCATACCCTTACAAAACACTGATCAACACCCTTAGAACCTCTGCAAAACACCTAGATTCTCCTAATCGTTGCAATTGCTTGGTATATACCAACTGGTATCCTTCTACCCCCTCCTCTTTTCTGAAGTTTGTAAATTCTTGCCCCAAAGGTCTGCCTGGTGGCAGCGAGTTTCATAGACAGTGGTTGTGAACAAATAGTTTCTTTCATCAGGAATGAATTCACCACCTTCTAATTTGACTTTCGTATTATTAGCAGGTGGGAACAGAAGTCCTCATCCATCTTCTCACCCATTCATTACTCTGTACCTGTTAGCTATCTTCTTATAAAAGATATCAATCTTCCCTATCCTCTTAATGTAAAATCTTATCCCAAAGACTTCAGCTGCTCATTGTCCATTTCCAAAACCCTTCTAATTTTCTACTGCTCTCTGCTTGGGGGAAACCAGAGCTGAAACAATAATTATTTTAATGAAAGCAAGAGCAGCTCTAAGGCAGGCTCAGCATGGGTTCACTTCCTTTATACAAACCTGGAATTTAAGATCTGCAAAGGCTACACAAGAGTGCGTCTATCCAAGATATAATGACAAAACAAACACAAGTTTTGAGTGTTTGTTCACACAGTTCCTCACTAGATGACTCTCCTGAGGGCTCTGTAAAGTCTAATGTCAGGACAGATTATGGCATCTACATTACTTTCAAAATCTGCTTGTTTAGGCAGCTACCAACTATCCTTTTTTGCCATGTCAGCATCGATCCCACCACAGAAAAACGGTGAGCAGGTTTCTATTGGAAAAGAGGGAGTAGAGGCCTCTAGGCATTACCAGTCTGTAATACTGCTCCAGAACATGCCATGTACCCGCAATATGATGTCCAGCAAAGGAT